TTCCTGCTCTTTTTCTTCTCTCCTTTCCTACAGAAGCAGCCCATGGTCATCACCCTTAGGACAGCAATGTTCAGCCTTGTGCACATTCCTGAGAGGCCCCAGGACAGCTCTGTGAAAGCCTGTGGAACCAATCCCTCAAGTGGAGGCTGTAGACATAAAAGCAGGTTGTCTGAACCTAACAGAAAACTCTGCTGCTGAATAAATTAACCGGGGACATGTCCCCAATTACCCTCTCCTTTTTTTTCTTAGCTTCCTTTCCAAATCTTCTCCACCAGCTATTACATAAAGACTACTGTCCTCTGTTTGTGTGGAAGAGCTGAAAAGGCGTAACAATTCCTCAAGTGCTGGAAAAAGAGGGCCCAGGCTCTGCAGCAGCCTTCACAAGATGTCTAGTTCAGAGCAGATTATCTGTGGAACTTCTCCCTTCAAGGAGCAGTTCTGAATCCAGCTTCTACAAAAAGTAATCAAACCAATGACAGTTGCTTTGGGGCAGCAGTTGGTATCCACCAATCTCAAAAGAGAAGCCTCAAAACTACATGTCAGAACAAGGCTCTTCTCTATACCTAGAAAGGACCAAGCAAATCACCACTGCTCAAAGTCACTGCAGGCCTGTACGTACCTCTTACCATTCTGTGCTTGCATTAAAGATGCCTACAAGAGACAAAACGGATTTTGCCATTTTTTTCTATCATTTCTATCATCTCTAAAAATAGGTACAAGAAAGTCAATGTCCTTCTTCAAGAGGAAAGTGATGGCAATACAGTTTAGACACTTGGATACCTTTATTTATTCTTCCCAAATTTTCTTGACAAATTGTCAAGGCATTTGCTAGAGGGCTCTCCTAGACTAAATGCTCTGAAAAGGCCACAGGGCACAATTTCTTTCCCAAATTGTCCAGGCTTTACAGTCACACACAAAAAAAAAAGCAACCCCAAAACCTTTCATACTTCAAAAAAAAATTATGTGAATACAAATCAGTATTATTCCACAGTAAGTCAGGTTTCACTTCCACTTGCCTGTGACAGAAATCTTACAGGGTAGATACAGTAACAGGAGGATCTTTCTTTTTTGGAAATTTTAACCATTTGATAATATTTCACTGATCATAGAGCAGCAAATATTAGCACTGCCAGCAATGATAAAATGTCACTTTTGTATGTTTCTTATTGAACAAATCAAGCACTTCGCTCAGTTTGCTATCATTGCTGAGCTATTATCACTGCAGACACGTAATGGCTCAGTAATAGTGATTTAGAAATCTCTCAAAGTACTCCTTTATTCATGTTATTATGTTTTAACACATAAGGAAAGCTTTCGAAGGAGCCTTCTGTTTTCCAGCAGCCCTAGAGCCACACCAGTAAGTAAACAAATAGGAAGTTACTGTTCTATTTCAAACTTAAAGGAAAGTACCCAGTAAGTTGTCTCCTCCAGGCCAGCAAGAACAGGAAAAGTAACTTCTTTCTAAACTAGCACAACTAACAAAATAATTTTATCATCTTGCACCATCATCTTTTTTTTGGCATTTCCATCCACAATAGAAGATAAAGCACGCATCAGGCCCCACCTCTCAGATAAGCAGAAAAATTAGCAGCTACACAAAAAAACAAGGGATAAATAAAACCGACATCATTTTTTCTGGTCATAACTATTCTCATTGCCTTCCTGTCTCTTGCTTTATGTTTGAGCTAGTTTTGGCACAGCAGGCTTGGGCACTGCATGGCATGAATAACAGACACCACACCCAGCGTCAAGACAGGACCCTGATATCCCAGCCTGGGAGCACTGCCTATAGGAGGCATTTCTGTGAGTGCAGCAGCAGCTAGAGAACCCTTGGAAGAAATCCACTGCAACAGTTGGAAAGTTGGCCAAGATTAACTGTTGCAGAAGCCATTAAGGACTGCTCTTTTAGGTTCACTTGCAGGAAACTAACGCTCCAAAGAAACAAAGGTCACAATCCTCTCCTTTAGCCCTGAGTTGGTGCTTCTTCCAAACCCTTCACTTTCCTGGTGCTCTTAAAATAACCCAGCCTAGGAGGAAGAACTGCAAACCTGAGACTTCAGATCCTGCTTTTGTACCCTTGCAGGATGGCTCCATCGTGTGACCAAAGAGGAACACTGCACCCACATAGGAATGCACTCAATACAACAAAGCCTGCTTTCTCAGCAGGTGGTCCTCTGCCAGTGACTTAATTTATTCTAGCTAAAAAAAAAACCCAGAGCAGTTCTTGGACAAAGACCTAAGATTAGCAAGTGAAACACAGCCTTGTGTTTTAACCCCTTTGTAACTTCTACATAAAAATGCTGCTTTGTGTTTCAGAGCTCTGCTGGATAGCCAGGAGGAGGGTTGTGGGGTAAGTAGCAGTTGCACTGAACGTTTAATTGTGGCAGGGTTTCAATTTTTCATTCATTGAAGCTCTGTGTCCTTCTAATAGTAGAAGCCTGTTTTTTCCACCATCCCCATGTAAGTCAGTTACACTTTTTAATTTCTATGTCAAGAAGTCAAAATTGATAAAATGTTAAAACTTAATGAAATAAAAGATTATAAAATCAAATCGTTTATCTCCTTTAAAGTGATGAACAAGATGTTATTTACTCTGTGGTTAGAAGCTTTAAAGCTATACGTGTGGCTTGCAACCATATGGCTACATCAGGGGAGCCCTGACACTTGCACACCAGAGCTGCTACCTCACTTCCTTCCTCCCCCGCTTCAAATCTAACTCCTTTGTTCACTGTTCTTTCCAGATGCTCTCCCAATACTCATAACCTTCCGTTGTTTTACTAGCATATTAACTGTCTTCACCCTGGAGCCCTCCTCCCTTTGGTTCCCATTTGGCTGCATCCAGCTCATTTCCCTTCTGGGATCTACCAGCACTTCAACATCACACAGCCTGGTGGGGCAGCAGTAATTGCCCTTCCCAACGCTGGCCCACAGCAGCTTTTCAGCTTTGAAATAGAATACAGAAATGGCTTCTCAGCAGTCCATATGGTGCTGTGCTTTGCAATTGTGGCTAGAGGAGAATTGGTAACATACCACTGTTGTGGCTGCTTCTGAAAAGCACTTGTACAGTATCAGAGCTCTATCCAAGCTCCTTGTTTAGGAAATGAGGAGGATCACCTCCAGTCCAATGGAGAAGTTCAGCCAGCACTGGAGGCTCCACATGGCAAAGATGAAGGTGGTGAGCAAGAACCAGTGTGAACTGCAGAGGTAGCAGCCCCAGGGCCAGGGCCAGGCACCATCCAGGAGCCACCCACAGGCCAGGGACCTGATGCCACATTCTAGACATGGTCCCAGAAGTGCCCTGCCAGGGCCACAGCCAGTGGGGAAGTGCAGGAGGAGCAGAAAGGGCTTTATGTAAGAGAGTGGCTGCCATGCCGTGCTCCTGCGCTGCCTGCCTGGAGGTCCAGATCCACCTGCCTCAGCTCCCCCACAGCCTTGCTCATCTCTCTTGTCTGTGCCATATGGAGTCTCCTGCCCCAGCCAAACTTCACCCTTTGAATCTTGCTATAAGGCAAATATACCCAGTAAAAGTGGATCTATGGATTTAAGCAGATAATCATGTGAGAGTATCAAGTTCTCACTACTAACTGTGTGCACACATGAAGATTGTTTTACCACTTAGGTAAAAGCCTGGATCTTTAATCTCTTAATTTGCAAGAAAATAAACTTCTGTAGTTGTGCTAATAAAAGAGACCTATTTTATAAAGCTTCCTATAGGCTCAAATGTGGTTAATGTACCACAGCTTATTAGCTACCATCAGCTGATTTGCAGTAAGTCCAAGGCTTGCTCTTAACCTAGAGTGAATGCACAGCACCAAGGCTCAGCTTAGACCCAAGAGAGCTTGGATAGGTCTTGGTACTTACCATTTGTCACAAGCTAAAAATGTACACTGACAGCAACCATAGCTCAGATGACTCTGTGTAATTGCTTAATGACAGTAAATCGACCAGGGCTCTAAGTAGTCAGTCTTTTTGATTATAATGAGATCACAGTATAATTCAGTTGGGAAGGAAATTCAATAGGTCAGACCTGATTGCCCAGGGCTAGACTAAACAGTAAAACCAATCAAGCAAAGAGATACAAATTTTCAATTTTTTTTTTACTGTATTTCCACAGTTTTACATAGTAGCCTACCACACAGCAGCCTAACATTCAAAATTTCTTCAGTAACAAAAATGCAAAATTACAGGGTACAAAAATAGGCACTTTAACTGCTTTAATTCTGCTTGCCAAGTAAGCAAGAGCAGGAGTTATAACCCTCACTGGCTTTTACACCAGACTATTGCTTCCACAGAAAAGCACCATGATGTGCAAAAGCCTGAAGCCTGATATCTGCTGCCAGGCTCCAGCGAGCTCCCCAGGGCACCCAGCCAGTTCAGCAGGGCAAGCACAGGTGCAGCAGCTCTGCTACTTGTGGCACACAGCAGGACCAGACCTAACAGCACATACTTCCTCCCTACTCCCCCACAGCCCATTATGGAGGTTGGCTGCACAAGAGAGAGATGCAATCTATTCTAGAGGACCCTCTTCAGATTTGATCTTACTAATTATCCCAAACCAAGGAGCACCTGAGGATTTTCTGAGCACTGCACTATCAATTCATAACCGATTGTGCAGCAGCAGGCAGGATTCATCATGCAGTATACTTTTCCTCCCCCTGTTTTTTTGCTTTGTGGTAGCGATTGTAATCATCATACAGATCCTTAAAGACCTCCCTTACACCTGCTGGTAGTGACACACTTAAGAACTTGATGTCCCGTTCGATGCAAAGGTCAAGGATGTGATATATCCCCTCTGTGAGATGTTTCTTCACAGCCGGGTGCAGTGTCACCTACGAGAAGAACAAAACTGCATTAAACGCTAAGACAAGAAGGCAAGAAAACACTCTTCCCACAGTCAGTACATACTTAATGCTGAAAACACGTTATCCAGTGCATCAGACCACCTGGAACAACTCACTAGATAAAATCCAAGATTTTGAGTTGTACAATATTTTCCTCATTTTTGCAAACACTTTTTGGAGAGCAAGAATGCCCCTTGCAATAAAATGCACACGAGTGCTACTGTACACATTCCTGCAGAGGCAAAAACATCCATCATTTTGGAATCATATGAAAACTCCTCAGCAAAAACAACTGTAACAAAAAAAAAACCTAAAATGCTTGCCCTGGATTACAAATTTCAGTAGATTCTGTACATCTCATATGAGCTGTATGCTAGTAATTTTCAGTTCCAAATGAGCACTTCCTTTGGGCTACTCTGTAATTTACACTAGGTCGTCAATGAACTTATCACTTAACAACTTGATATTTATCTAACAATTTGCATCTGAGAACTTAGATGTCTAAGCCTTAATAAAAGAAGCCTTCAAAAAGTTCAGGAGACTCTTATTTCCTTGATCTGTCTTAATATCAGGAAACCTTGCCTGAAGTCATGCAGGAAACTGAAGGAATACAAGGAGTTCCTCCTGAACTCTGCTCCTACCAGTGTAACCCCTGCTCAGCCCCACAAGCAGCAGAACTGCTACTACAACCAGGAGCACCAGTGCTGACTTTGGAGTCCTCTGGTGCTCCAAGATAACTGAAATTTATCCTTTGCTCACAAATCACTTGCTAAATACTTCATGGCCTGAGGTGGTGCTGGCCTCTGGCATAATCATATTAATTTTGCTGCAGAACCGTGTCTTATCTTTGCTGAATCCCAAAACGAACTTTATGCCTCCAGACCTAAGCCTCTGCACTCCAGGTCTAATGAAAATTACACAAAAAGCTGTCATTAACATTCAGACTTCCTTCTTCCTGAGGCAACTAATAAGCTTTCCACTAATGAAGTGCACTCCTAATCACTGTGACAGGCTCCTGCTCCTTCTGCCCTAAATGTAAAACAGCTAATATACTTTATTAGACCTGCTAACAGAGCTAGGAAAAAACGTACAGCAAGCATTAAAGCACATAAGCCTTTCTTTGGATCTCTGATCCTGAAGAGTTTGCATGTCCAAAAGCTTGTAATTTTTTCCCCTCTGTGCCAGTTGATCCATTAGCAGGTTTGTAATAGATGTTATTTGTCCCTGCACCATGCACTGAAGTAACAGAACAGTCGAGCATCACAACCCCTAGTGAATGCACTGGGCAGGCCTCTCCGTTCTTAGGGCAGAGAAATTACTGCAGAGAACGAAACCCCCAACTATTGGCAAGATGGATCAGATCTTCCACTTGGGATAAGCAGACACCTCAGAGCTGCAGTTAATGGAACTGCAACCTTTACATCGTAAATTAATCTGGAGCCATGCCTTACTTGAGCCATCCTTGCTTTGCAGCGCAGTTTCCTATAAACACCCTCCAATAACTCTATGGGAAGCAGAACCAAAGATTTAAACAGCTGACACTACTGCCTGGCACTTAATTATGCTTCTAAGTGTTTTATGGCCTATATAGTTAGCACAACCCATTTGTCAGGCATTACAGAGCTCTTGATGTGAGACATTAAAAACATGAAGAGGCATTTCACTACTGCTGAATTAAGCAACAGCTCACAGAAAACAAGGGAAAAGCACTGTCAACAGTATGAAAGCAACAAGGAGTCTTTCTGGATTATCACAAAATTATTCAAAAACATACTTTATTTCTTGGTGTAAGGCAGAAGTACTGAGGGAACTGTTACACAACTACTTTAGGAGTAAGTGACTGTTTAGGGCAGTAGCTTTCATCAGTTTTAGTTTTAAGACACTTAGAAGGGTTCCAGTAAGTGTGCAGATACCCATGTAAAGACTTAAATCTACTAACATGTTTTTCTCAGTTACCTTTGATGAACCCCCAGGGTCTTCGGATCACAGGCTGAAAGCCCCTGACCTGGACTCAGAACTCTGCAGAGCAACATGAAAGATGTGTATGTGCTCCCTTAAGATGGGCATGCTGAGGCCTCTCCTTCCTCTGATATCCATCAGTTCTCACCCATCTAATGAGCAAATCATCACCTACTTGTGATCTATCTATTCTCTCAGACAGAAAACACAGCATCTGGTGGCTCAGTACACCCATCCCCCCCCTTACACGCCCCAAGGTTCCATGCATACATTACTGGTCTGTGGGTTCAGTTATCATCCATCACCTTCCATTTCCCAGTGAAAGTGTTGCACAAAACTTTCCTAGAAGTCTCATGAGACTTTGAACTCCTACTAATGCTGAGGTAAGTGTCCTTTCAACTTTGAAAGGTCATTTGACAATTCAAATCTAGCTTTCTGGCTTACATTCTGTGATGAACAGATTTTAGAGTTCAGAGATAATTAAATAGAGCAGAAGCAGTCTTAAAAGTAATTTGCCCCTAGTATTTGCTGAACTATGTTTACTACGTAAAAAATAAGCAATTCATGAGGAACACTAAATAACATGGCTAAAAACTGACATATCCTATTGTTTTGTTCCCAAACCTAGGAAAAAAGTCAGGCAATTGAGAAGGCAGGTGAGTTTAAGTTCTGTAACCACCTGCACAGCTAGTTACACTGGTTACTCCATAATCCTACAGAAACATCAGAGAACCTGAAGACAAACACTAAAATTCCTTTCTGTATTTTAGCCCATACCCAGGCCAGAGCCACAAATAATCAATTTGCAGATACTTGCAACACAAGCAGCAATCAAACCCTGGTGAAATCTAAATCTATTAGGCTGAGCAGAATGACAATTTGAACTTAGATGTGGAGGAGAGAAGCTACTGACTTGGCTCTGGCATCTGTAGTAACAGGACTAGTTGTTTTCAGTAATGATCAGAATATCTTTGGTATGGCAGAATTACTGAAAAGCTAACAATTCTCTGGCTTGGCAACCTTTTTCACAGTCACTTACTCATTTAGACCAGATTACAAGATATTTTCTAGGAGAAACTTCCAGGAAATTCCCCATCCAGATGGGGTCCTAAACTGCTATCAGTCCTGGACAACTGAGACTAGCTGGGAGAAGAATCTAACTACCAGATGCAGAAAAGGCAACACCCAATGTGACAGAAAAGCAAAGCAATTTCATAGAAAGGCATTGCATTCTTTTGCCTCACAAAAAAAAAAAAAACAAACAACTGAAAAAAACCCAAGGCCAACATCTTTAGAAACTTTTCAGGAGCTGGAGAAGAAAGATCCTCAGGAATTTTTGCTCAAAATAACAGTCTGGACCAAACCTGTATCCCCATAAGGCCCAGCAACTTTTATAAAACATCACAGATTTACAAAGCTTAACACCTTTGTTAACTCTAAAGCCAGCACAATACCATGGCACATTCAAGGTGGATGAGAACGTTACCTTCTGCAATTCAGTCACATACTGAGCCACAATGAAAGCTGAAAACACAGTAAAGTCCTCCATTTCTGCAGCGATATGAGTATACATCCGTTCCACCAAGTGTGCACACTTCAGTATAACTTCAAACTCATCTGTGTTGCCTAAAAGAGAAACCAAGTTGCACCCTGGCATTTAAAGTTTATGAACACTAGGCTCCATACACACTTTACGCATCTCTTACAATGGCTATTTTGTAAAAGCACGTTGATTCCCACTCGACATGCACTGCAAGGCAAGAAATAATTGTTATAGATACTGAAGTGCTCATAGGTATAGATACCTATGTTCCCTTCCATGATTCAGTCCCAACTAGCAGTGTGGAGGAGAGAACAAGGAGACTGGGAAATTATATTCTTTATCTACAGAAAATCACAAGATCTTTTTTAGAAACAGTGTAGTAATAAAACTTTCTGATGAGATTTATTACATAGCAGCAGAAGCTACAGTACTGGAGATATTTATAGTTAGATGCAAAGTTCACCTGAGAAATTATCCTTTCAGTAGGCAGTGAATGAGAAGAACTAACACAAACAAGGGACAAAAGGGACACATTTGCCCACAGTTAAGATAACTCTGAATGTGAAATAAGCTGTAGGAAAGGTGGGACAAAAGCAGTTGCAGAATATGAAATCAACTTGTCTCAAAAAGCCACCACTATTAATGACAGTATTTGTGTCCTGACCAGCACACAGCATAGCAGGATTACTGTAATCACTATGAACATCTTTGACTTGGCTACTTTGACAATGCAAATTCTTTAACTTCCAGTAATGTATCTTTTTTTAATTTCTTCTTTTTGAGACATATAACTATACTAATTCCAAATCCTTAACCATACCAATGTATCATCTAATTCCAATTGATGCTTCAGATATATGCAATGTTCTGGCTTTATGCTTAGCAAAGAATGGTGACAATTCAGGTCTGTAGTAAACATAGTTCCAGACTCAAGAAGCTCCATTTAGTAGGATTGATTTGGGACTACGACTCAGGCATATCATCATGTATCACCAGAATTCACAGCCACTATGCTTTGATGTACATAGATTGATAGGAAGAGCAGAAATTTAGCACAGCAAGACTTACTGGTTCCTGTCTACTTGCCAGCCAGGGACTGAAGAATACCTTATTCACCTCAAGAAATGCTGATTGTATGTAGCTCCACAGGAGCCCCAGTTATTTTCATAAGCCCACAATTAGCACCTTTGTTAATTCTGAAGCCAGCACAATACTCAATTTTACAGGAAGGACAGATAGGGTAAATGGCTTCAATGCCACAACTAGGCTTTGAGGACTTTGCTTCTGGTGTCAGGCTGTCCTGTTCTCCCTCTTCTCTTCTAGAATATACAAAAATACAGCATGTATATACAGGGCAAAAGCGGAAAAGATATGGTACCTCTGTCTCCTTTCTGACGTCCTTCATGCATGACAGAAACAACCAGACGGTGGAAACTGTTCAGAAACGATGGTGCTGCTTTCAACAGCACCTGCAAAGACATGGAATAAAAACATCTGAGATCATTTAGTAAAGGGAGTGGAGAGGGCAGAGGTACACCACCCCACAGTGCCAGGGAAATCAGTTCCTGTGAAGGAAACTATATCGTTTATAGAGCTGTCAAGGGCAGAGACTTTTCATGCTGCATCCATATAGTACCTAGCATGTGAGAATCCTGGAGGAGGACTGTCCTGGCCATATTCAAAAACAAATAACAAGTAAATATCATGTTAGAGTTACTTCATCTCTCCAAAGCAGCATTTGATTCAGTACCCTAATGTTTAGGGGATTTGTTCTTGCTGGTAGAGAACCTGTGCAGGCAGACAACTTGACAGAACATGGGGTCCAGTAATACCACAGATCCCTGTGTAAAAACAGCCTGGATAGGCCATTTTCTACTACAGGGCTTTTGTAAGGGTAATTTAGCAAAGGGGACTGGCACATCTCTGCTTTCCCATGCTAGAAGCCTGACACGAAAATCAGAATGGTACAATGTTTGAAGGTCACCGACTTCTAACATGTCTAAGTCCTATTTTCAAAAGACTGCAGAATCTTGATCTTCAGTGAGAATTAGGTTCTAGAACCTGAGTCATTTCTGATTCTAGAAGTCAATCATAAAAAAGGGAAAGTTTTATTCTAATCTAGCATCAGATATTGATAAGCAATCTACTGTCAAAGACCAACAATGCAGGCATAAAACAAAGCAGGAGAGTTGAAATGATGTGAATTTTGAGAATCCTAGCTTTTTAAATGACAAGTGGTCCAAAGTTCTTTTATACTATCAGGACAAATTATTTCAAACCCACTTTTCAAAAAAAACCAACAACCTCTCATCACTGGCCTAAGTGTTGGTTCTTTCTACCTTCTTTTTCCTACTACCACCCCCTCACAGATATACCTTTGGATGACACTGAACAATAGAGAAGAGCACTTCATGGACTCCCACAAAGACAACTTGATAGTCTTCAGTCTTCAGACGATCCAGAGGGACTGTCAGGAGAATGCTGAATGCCAATGACACATGGTGTGGATTCAAGAGAACCCCTTCTCCTTGCCTTAGCAAAGCTGCTACAGTCTCTAGAATAGGTACAGCTATGGTGGAAATCAGTGACTGGTCTTGACAGGCCTCTTTGGTTTGCATCTGCAAGAAGACAGGAAACAAGTAAGAAGGCGTGCATTAGCCACCTACCACTAGCATTCCACACCAGTGGAACTAGACTGGTGTGAGCTGGACTGGCATGGAGACTCCTGCACTTTGGTCATTTTGGTGTATCTGTACCCTGGGCAAGGATGCATAAGATGCATTTCAAGCAAGCACTGCTATGAGTGTGGAATTAACTACTCCCCCATTTGCTGACAACCAGCACCTCTTTGCACCTCCTGACATGAATGCGCTGATGTAGTTCTCTCCCTTACAAATATGCAGACCAAGCAAATAAAGGCCAGAAAATGCATCCTCATGATTCCCTGGCATTGTAGAGCCAACACCTGACAAATTATGGTCTAGAGACACCTTCACCATAAGACAACAAAAATCTACCTCACCAGGTTTGTGATGAAGGTTGTAGTTTGTGACTAGGCTGTACAAATGAAGGACAGAAAACCTGGGTTTGGCTACTTTCAGTTAAGTTTCCCGTTCATAATTCAATTAATTTTAATTTTTTTTTTCAATACAAGCACTTTTTGCTTTTTGTTTTACTGCTGTTGACTTCAGCTGTGTCATGTGGCTGACAGTTACTTTCTCCTTTGGACAGAAGGAAGGGCAGGAAACTCAGACATTATTCTCTGCAGCCTAACAAGTTTCTCCCAAGCTCCAGATTACATGGAGCATTTCCAGAAAATTGCCAATAATCAGAAATCAATGACCTATGCACTGCACTCACAGGAGGAGATTTACTTGAGGAAGGAGGAGAGAAAGTGTCTAGACAAAACAGTGCAGGTGAATCTGGTATGGATTTGTCAGTTATACGCAGCTTTTTTGTTTCTGTGCCTGTTAGATGTAACCACTACAGACTCAAAGAAACAAAAGGGATAGGTAATGAAGTTACACTAAAGAGATACTTACTGCTAAAGCTGTGATTATCTGTGGGCTGGCAAACCAGAAAGCTTTCTCTTTTTCTCCACTTAATGGGCAGCTGAGCAACAATTTGGTTAGTGTAACAGCTGACAATACTTCCTGCAGAAAGAAGATTGATGATCAGTCACAGGTACATGATGCACTGCCTCCTTTCAAGTACAGAAGAGCTCTTTCAAGGGCAGTGGCAGTTTTGAGCATTACCAGAGCTTTGATACATGAAGTCCTCCCACCAACAGATCTCTCTGGAAACTGTGAAGTAAACGGCAGTTCAGCAAAATTCAGTATGTTGAGCAGCACTGGCCCAAATGTACTGCACGCTACATTTATTTTAGAACCAAATTACTGTACAAAAAGGCTTATATGATTTTTAATAAAGGAAAGCCTTCTCTTTCGACTGCCACTAGATAACAGAGGGAAACAGGGAATACAGAGACACCAGCACACTATACACTAAGAATGCTGCATTTGGCAACAGGGTTCTTTGTTTTTTATTTGCTGGCTTTTATGACAGACTGATTAAAGAAACATATTACAAGCTATACTCAGGTAGCAGAGATTATATGCATAGTACAGGGATTCCAGATATACCTACAAAAAGACATGTCAGCATGTTTGATGATGCAGCATATTTGTGTCTATTTCTGACAAGTAAGACAGAGCCAGATAAATCCCCGAGTTTAATCCAAGTTTCATTCTCAAATCACTGAGCTCTCTGTGGAGGCTAATGCTGGCATTTTTTGCCAGAAGTGTTTCATATGTTACCACTGCTGCTTAAGCTGTGTTGGAGAAAGGCATATTATTTAAAAAGGAAGTGAGTGGTAACCAGTTATTACATAGTAAAAGTCGTTACAGTGACAAATATCAAAAGCACAGGACCAGTTTTGGTCTTACCTAAAAATATCAGCATTTTTTAAAGTGCCTTTAATTTTGTTAAATTTCAGCATGCCCTGTAACATCACAGCTGTATGTTTGCTGTTGGCAATATATGGAATTAAGACTGCTGAGTCCTTTAACTGGACAGAAAGTTTTTTCCCATGATCTTTCCACCTCTCTCAATTTCTATCCAGAACACATCCCAGCACAGTTACCAAGCTCTTAACCACATAAATAAATTTCACCTGACCACTGAACATAAGGCAGGAAGAGAAAAAAACATCTATCATATGTCATTCAGCTAACAATTTGTTTTCAAAATACAGAAAATGGAAGGAAAAAGGTTATTCCTTACTTTAGCTTTCTGTTGCCAAACATTCTTCATTTCAAGCCCTTGGAGCACCAGCCTCATTATGGCATAAAACTCCTCAGCAGAGCAGTTTCCCAGCAGCTGGACAAGCACTTCTGTCAGCTCCACCTCCATACTTTGGATCACCTGCGTTGTGACTGCTGGACCTGCAGATTAAAAAGGCACAAGTATGTCTAAATCAATTCCCAAGACAGGGACTTCCAGAGGAAGAACAGGGTGACTCAAACCTTAAAACAGCTCTGTGGGTACCTTTTCAACAATCAAATGCAAACAGGGCCGCATGCTTTCCCTTTACCCATCCACCCAGCAGAAAGAATTGCTATTTTCAGGTATCTCCTACCCCAGGGTTCACAGAGCAGTCATCACACAAACAAAAAGCCCTCAGTAGTACAGCAATACTACAACAAAATGTGTTTAAAGGCCAAGGGAGTAGGCTAAACAAGCCACAAGGCTCTACTACAAATGTAAGCCAGAGAGCCATCACCAGTCACAAATGCATTATGCTGACAAATTTTAGGTCTCTGCTGATCATAATTCACACTTCTCCCCACTTACACAATTACTACTAAGTAGACAGTCCTGGGCTAGCTTATATTTTAACCTATTCTGAAGGATTGTTTCTTAGCTACAAGTCTCCACGGGATCTGTACAGTGCTGAAAGTCTTCTTCAACAGGAATCCATATTTTACTTTATTTAATACTGTACTTATTCACTAGAAATTCTTACAGTTTTTTGCAGTGATTAATTATGTCTCCTGGCTAAAGGACTTTACCAATCTCACACTAGTAAAGTGAAGCATAGGATGAGAGAGAGAAAAGTCAGCAAAAAACTTACAGCAACTGACACCTCGTCATGGTGCCTAGTTGTAGTGTGAAATCCCTGCTCGAAGTGCCCTTACGGAACCCTACAACACTGAAGGCTCAAGATGCAGGCCAGAAAAGAGGCAGACTAAGCCTCCATCTACACTTACATTCTAGCTCAAACTCAACTCTGCAAAGTCAAGATCAAATTTTCCATGGAGGGCTGTGCTGTTCTTAACTACTTGTTGTCAGCATAAACACTGAGATCATGACTGTAGTCCACTTGAGCAGCAGCCTCCAAAGGGGGGGTACACATGGCCCAAGGTGTGCACAAGACAACCCACTGGGGTGTGGGAATTACAACATTATAAATAAAATAGTGTTTATTTCATCTTTATCTCATGCTTTTTAAACTTTGGGGGGTGTGTGCTTTGTAATGTAGATAGTACACTGATAGAGTAGGACATGCACATAATTTACACATAAAACATACTGATAGGTGTGTGCACAATCCTAAATGTTTGGAGACCAATGCACCAGAGCATGTTAATAGTAAGTGCAACAACTTCCAGTTGTTTGGAGAAGCCAAAGAGAACAGTTATCTCTCTGCTGTGTTTAGTTCATCCCAGTTTCTAAACAAGATGACATAAATGAGCCACTAGGTCACAGTGCTGGCCAGAGAGGATTTTAATCTCATTTCTAGCCCTGGCTCTTTATTTAACAGGGATAAAGGGACTGATCTGCCAATCTCCCACAGACTTTATCAGAATTATGGGTGTTCAGCATCTTTAACAGTTAGGTGACATCTATGGTTTTATAACCTTACCTACCAGATGCAAAAATAGATGAGTATTTTACTGTAAGTTTCCCTGAGATCGTCAGATGAAACATACCAGATCTGATGTGCTGCACATCAGTTGCTTCAGTGGTGCCTTCTATACCAGCTGTAAGAGTAGAAGGACACTGCACCTTCAGTCCTACATCCAGAAGTATTAACACGTTCCAGTTACTGTCAAAATGCTCTATAGGGATGAGTAGCTGAGGACCTCAAATTTATGGAGATGTTTGCATCTTCCAGGAGAAGATCATTACTGAATCAGATGGTGGCTGTGGTCATAACCTTCCTGTTATGCATTTATAAAAGGACAGCTTACTGCTCTAACACAAGTAAATAGGTACAGATTTTTCAAAAAGCTGTAGGTTCTGTTAAATGGTTTTTAACTCGCTTCTGTTCTGCAAAAATAGCAAAGGAAGTGGAGAAAGAGAGTTTTCATACCAGCGAGAAGCTTTCTTACAGCAAAAACAACCGTGATTGCAGTTTCTTTTCCAGGATACAGCTCTGGCACTGAGCAGAAGACCGTTAGGAACTGCAGTGCAGACTGAAGGAACTGCAGATCACCTCCTGCGCAGGGCAGCTCCCTCAGGATCTGAGAGTAAAATTGCTGGTACAGCTTAACACGGGGTTGCTCCAAAAACCTGCTGCACTCCATCTGCCAGCCCTTCTTGACAGCATGGCTCAGGTCTGCTTTGAGAAGAGTGGTGACAGATGGTATGAACGCCACAGGCAAAGGCTGGTTTGGAGTGTTGCTCTGAAGACCGTGTTCAACAGCTCCAGCCATCTGCAGAACTACTGGCTCCAACAGAGCAGACAGTACCTCCACAGACTGCTGCTTCTTTTCTGGCAGCTGCTGAAGGTAGAGTGTGACGACATGACACAGCGTGGTGAATGCCATCAGCAGTACCTGCTCAGCTGCAGGATTACAGTTTCTGCAGCCTTTGCTTTTGGCTTCACCAACATCTGCCTTGTAGCTCATCAGGAAAGACATGAACTTTTCCAAGTTGAGCCTCACACTTTGCCTTCTTTCAATAATCATCTGAAGAAAGTTTTCCAAAAACGCTTCGACTTCCTGGAGATACTCTGACCAAACAGGAACAGTCAAAACATCAGTGAAGACTTCACTAGCTGTCAGCTGGGAACTCATGACAGTCTCAAGAACATCGCTGGCATGAAACACCTTAAAAATAGAGTTGGCATTCCTGCCTGCTTGCAGGCACCTCAGGAGGTGGAAGCAGGTACTTGAAAACTTCAGCAACAACAGCTTGCTGCAAGAGGCACTAGGCCTGGTATTGGCTAGCAGGGACAGCAGCACCAGAAAACACCGGGTACAATCAGAGGGAAGAAGACTGTCTAGTTTCAGAAGGGAAGCAATTTCTAGCACACCTAAGCAGCTTTCTAGCTGACTTTCTTCCAGGATGACAGGGCAGCCATTTTTTGCTAACAATACTACATATTGGGCAACTTTCTCCAGCGTTTTCCAAGACAAGCTGGGCTCATTCTTCAGCAGTTTGTTTTCTGATGGTGCTTCCAACGGGTCAGCGGGTTTGCAAGGAGCCAGGATTTCTTCATGCCAAGGGATACCACCTGCAGTCAGCTGTTGAAGTGGCAGATCTACTGCATCCTTAGCAGCAGAGGGCAGCACTCTAGTGAATTGATGAATGAGACGAGTCAGAAAAGCACAATGCAGGACCTTCATTTCCGGGAGAAAGGAGCTGTGGATAAAACCAAGAGATATCTTTCCAATGCTGATGAAAGGCTCCTGGTCTGCAGAGGCTTCCTGAGTTTTGGCCAATGCTAATGTCTCTAGAAGGACATTTGCAATGTATTCTACATCTTTCAGGGAAATATACGGCAACAGGATAGTCAGGTTGGAGATGACAAGGTGCCAGTGGGCCGTGGGGTAGGTGGGATCACTTATTGCACCGATATCTCCATCCCACGGTTCAGATTCTCGCTGGCTCATGTTGGATCTCCCAGACTCCAGGATGAAAGCTGCAGCCTGCTGCAAGGCCTGTGGGTCAGCTTCAGTCTGCATCAAAATCATCTTCATATTCTGAAGTGTGAGCAGTTCTAAGCAATATTTACTAGTGGAGGCAAAACTATTTGCCAGCTCCATGACTCTCTCCCAGCACTGCTCCTCCACACCAGGGAGGAAAGCTGAAATGCCTCTGTGCCTTGCAGCAGTTGTAGTAACAGCACCAGCAACTTCAGCTGCTGGAGACACATATTTACTGCAGCTGAAACCAAACAAAGTGTCTACCTCAATCCAAGTGTAAACAAGGAGGAGAGCAGAGTCACTGGCCTTTCTTAGCCAAAGGTCTGACTTCTCTTCCTTTCTTCTAGGAGCCTGCAACAGCTCCATCAGTGGCTGAATTATTCCCTTCTGCATATTTGCCAGCAGACTCTGAGTGCGAAGGACCACAGGGGAAGGAGTGACATCATCTAGGCTCCTCATGTTGAACAGAAAAGCATGTAGCAT